GGGGTCTTACGCCGCGCTCGCGGCACGCCTCTCGCCTGCTACGCGGGTACTATGGACTACGTTTTACCAGAAGGCCCTTGCTGCCCCTACAAAGTGGGCACTTAATCACCCATACCGAGTCTGACAAACACTGCCGATATTGTTTTCAATGTTACCCGATTTGACTTCATGAAACGATCAAATAAATCGTGAAAGCTCATCGAGCTTTAAGTATACCACGATATTGTACGTTTGAAATAATGCAATGACCTCGAATGAACCATAGATTCATATTTAGAACTCATACGATACAATGGAAAGTAATCATCACGATCAATAACCTACGCTCAAGGGACGGACCAAGCTGTCCTACGCTACAGGTCTACGAGACGACTAGCCCACGGAGTAGGACTGATGAACCTCCTCTGACCGACGTCAACGATGCCATTCATTCGTACGACGAGGGGACAGAAGGGAACGCCTCCTACGCGGCTACGTCGGAATACGGGAGGCTACGGGCAGGGGTTACGCGGGGTGACAGCAGAAGGTACGAGGGCGACCGGTCGGGACGAAGTCGAAGGCGCAGACTGATTTGCGGAAGGGAGCCAGACGGCGAGGCGCCACGCTCCTCTCGCTCCTTGCTGCTTCTAGAGTCCATCCTTGCAGTGTGGCATTCGTGTCGGGACCAGGCGCGGCTCGCGACGTGGGCGCCCTTGATACCAGAGTCGTACGCAAGTCACGACACTGGGGGCGGCGAGAAGAAAGGTCGCTGCTTGCGCCAGGCACCAGTGGTCCCGTTCTCACCTACCGCGACTACGCGGAAAAATGCAAACATATTTGAACGACGACTACGTGGATTTACTGAAGCTTGGTTCGTGGGGAGGTAGAGGTTGCAATGACAGGGTCTGATGATTTCCCTACGCTTAAAAACAGAAATGCATTGATACACATGTTGAAGTGAATAATAAATATTTGTCAAGTTGACGAGTGTACGCGGAGAAAGGTGTAGTTGTCGTTGTCGTTGACTTCCCTCTGACGAAGAGCGGCGCGGCGTAATGTAGCAATGCGGTGACGACCAATTATGATGACGTGAAGTGTTGGAGTAGGAAGAGTTACGGACAACAAACTGCTAGGGTTATTTTACGCCTACGCGTGAGTTTTACCTCACGTATGTGGGTAGAA